AACCCTCTCTCTCTGCAATCTCTTCATCTCAGTGATTGGCTTTCTGGGTGACAGGCAAAAATGAACCTGGTTCGGTAACACTGGTGGTCACTGGATTGTTCACCACAGTGCATTTGTGGTTTAAAAAAAAAAGTCAATTTCACCTAAGACTATCCTCAATGAAGGAGTAAGAGCTACTGAATCCCGAACTTTGGGTACACGACGTTTTACTATTGTGTGACGAAATAAGAAGTATGCATAACACACTTCTGCCACACACCAAAGTATGACGGCTGTTTAGAGGAAAAGCACTTGTACAATTATTTGAGTTGCAAGCCGAACTAGAGGCTTATTTTCATAGAACAATTTTTACTTGAAAGAACGATTGGCAGATAAATTATGGTCATTCAGACTTGGGTATTTGGCAGGCATTTTCTCAAAAAGCAATGAAGTGAGTCTGTCACTTCAAGAAACAACTGACAGAATTTTTACCCAATGATAAGAAACAAATTATCAAACTAAAATTAGCATTTTGAAAAACCTGCATCTGCCAAAACAAGTTTTAGAAAATTTGTATGAGCTTGACTGCTTCCCAGTACTTAAAAGACTTTCTGATGAGATCAGAGGTATTAACAAATGTGATTTGTCTGGCATTACGTAATGAAATATATTTTGGAAGAGCTGCGTAATTCAGTGAAATATTTTCCAAATGCCAATGCATAATGTTACAGAACCATGCATGGTTAAAGATCTATTTAAAAGTACAAGACAGGGGACAGCCCTGTGGCTTAGCAATTAAGTGCGTGCGCTCCGCTACTGGCGGCCCGGGTTCGGATCCCGGGCACGCACCGACACACCGCTTCTCCAGCCATGCTGAAGCGGGGAGAAAACAAAGTACAAGACAGACCATTAGAGAGTGTGTGTGTGTGTGTGTGTGTGTGTGTGTGTGTGTGTGAGAAAACAAAGTACAAGACAGACCATTAGAGAGTGTGTGTGTGTGTGTGTGTGTGTGTGTGTGAGGAAGATCAGCCCTGAGCTAACATCCATGCTAATCCTCCTCTTTTTGCTGAGGAAGACCGGCTCTGAGCTAACATCTATTGCCAATCCTCCTCCTTTTTCTCTTTTCCCCCCAAAGCCCCGGTAGATAGTTGTATGTCATAGCTGCACATCCTTCTAGCCGCTGTATGTGGGACGCTGCCCCAGCATGGCCGAAGTGGTGTGTTTGTGCATGCCCGGGATCCGAACCCGGGCCACCAGCAGCAGAGCGTGCGCACTCAACCGCTAAGCCACGGGCCGGCCCCCAGACCATTAGATTTTAATGTAACAAAGTAAGAAAAGTTTATTGATACGCTTTCAGATTCCACATAGCAACTAACCCTTAAGACACTACCAGTTCAAATTTTGGCACAGAATTAAAAATATCTGTAGTTATCTGAAAAAGCTCTTAAGATAATTCTCCTTTTCCAACTCCACATGTGTGCAAGGCTTTTCCCCAAAAATGTCAAAATAGTATATCTCCACAGATCGAATGGAGAATCTGATATGAGAATCCAGCTGTCTTCTATAAAGCCCAACATTAAAGAGTTGTGCACTCTTTAAACATTAAAAAGTATCACTCTTCTCACTACATTTGTTTTTGTTTTTGAAAAGTTATTTTTCATAAAAATGTAATTTATGTTAAGATGTAGTGAAGTTATTTTTAAACGAATAAAATAGTTTTGTTTTAGTTTCTAATATGCTAAATATCAACAGCTATAACTCACAAAAACAAAAGTTCTTTGGGCTCCTTAGTGATTTTTTTTTTCCATTTGGCTTTTTTATTTTTTTGTTTGCTGAGGAAGATCAGCCCTGAGCTACTATCTGTGCCAATCCTCCTCCACTTTATATGTGGGTCGCCACCTCAGCATGGCTGTCGATATAGATCCATACCTGAGATCTGAACCCAGGAACCTGGGCCACCAAAGCAGAGCATGCCGAACTTCACCATTACGCCACAGGGCCAGCCCCCTAAATAACTTTTAAGTGTAAAAGAATTCTGAGACCAAAACGTTTGGGAGTCACAGCCCTAGACTAATCAATCATCTAGCCTCCAGTCTCAATTACAATTTCCTTCATAGTCCCCAACCAGTTTATTAGTACACAGGATGAGCTCCGGGGGGATCTGGAGTGGGCAGCCCCTGCCTGGTCTGATTTGAACAGCATAGGCACCACTCCCCTCCTCCCCAAATATCTTCTCTATCGACCCCCACCACAGGACCTCAAATTTTCCTCATTGTTATTCTTTTGATATGAATCACTTGAACTTTTTCTCTTCAAATCTAAATACATATAAGTGGTAGTACATCGCTAGGTACCAGTCACTAATGCATAAAAAGAGTAGCCACCTTTTGAGTGCTATGTCAAGCTTTATGCTAAATACTTTGCATGTATTATTCTCATTTAATCTTACAAAGAGTGCATGTTTATTGTACCCTATTTTTCACTGAAGAAACTTACAGATTGGTTTTATTATATTAATCAGCAAGGCCTCGAGGAAAAGTGACGCGTACTATGGGATGTAAGGTACAATACAGGCACATGCTACCGGGAGAGAAGGATAGAGAAGAGCCTGAAGCTTAGGTGTCGTGTCCCGTGACGGCTCCTTGCAGGCAGCCCATCTGCCCAATGCGGGGGCACCAAAGTAAGGAAAGGAGATGAAGCCCTCGATGCTTTGCTGTTTTAGCCCTGACCTTGGTTTGACTGTTTCCTTGTGTTCCACAAACCACCTCTCTCCCTCCTTGGCCCATTCTGAAATCATATAATCCTTTTCCACTCTCCACGTGTACCTAAGTATCAGAACTTAAAATTTAAAACAAAAAAAGCCATACAAAATTAACATTAAAAAAATAAATTTATTTCAAATCTGAAATACTGAAGAACAAGCATATGGATAAATAATACAAAAAGCAAAAATTAGAACATTAAAAAAGACTGAAGACAGACAGACATTCTTCCAGCAACACTCTTGAGTTAACGCCTAAACATATTTTTAAAGACATTTCTCCAACATTCAGAAAAGGCAAAAGCTATATTATTTGCAACATTTATAAACGCAACAGCTTCTGAAAATATCCAGTTTCTTTCTGAAATCATTTGATTAAAATTTACACAAGTGATGGTTACCCAACATTTTCCAAAGATATGACAAAGAATTATATGACATTCTGGTTTGACATATAACAGACAACTGTAATTCAAAATACAGAAAAATTATCAATTCATTTTGTGTTTTGTCACATGATCATATTTCATCTTTTCTAATCAACAAGGAAAAATACAGATGACATATATGTATATCTTTTCAGAAATAAAGTATTCCAACTTTTATCTATAACTTATTCAAAACCTCAGGAACTCAACAAGTACATCATTATGTTAAACAACATAGAGAGTTTAAAAACGAAACCAATTATTTAGAGAAGGGACCTTAAGTACATTTTTGGCCATAAAGCCTGTGATATAAATAATAAGGAAGGTAATGATTCAGCATATTCTGCCTGAGCGACCACCAACTGAATAAAAAGGCTAAAAACAGATTTTAAATTCCCTGTATCTACAAAGTAACAATCACCACTGTCTATCCAATTGTCCAGAGAATTCTTCTCTGGCTAGATTTAAATTCTTGTGCTACAATGATTTGGTCTACCTCATGATGAAAGCATTGAAGATTCACAAAAGATCTTTGAGATTAAATTGAACACATTCATTATATGCATGAGGAAATGCTGCCAGGAGAAACAGATCCAGGACACAGACCTGGACTTCCTGATTCCCAGCTAAGTTCTTCTGCCAACACACTCTCCAAGGTAAGAGTCTACATAATTTACTGTTGTTTGATTACAGAGAATGTTACAGTTTGAATATAAAGCAACATATATACTATGCTCAAATCAGAATTGCTAATTCACTTCAAGGGTATTCAAAGACATACCTGATGGCTTTCTTTTTGTTTATGTGGACATAATATAAATATTATGGCTGCTTAAACGTCATTACTCATAAGATACTCTCTATCAGCTTAGAGAGTCAGGACATGAATAATATTCAAATTCTCACTGTAAACAAAATGCAGTGGTAGGCACTGTGCAAACACATTTGGTCCTATTCTCCTTGCCCTGAGCATGTAAAAGAGCAGACTCTTCCAACAGTATGGAGACTACGTACACTCTGTGGTGAAGAGAAGAATCCACTCCCCCAACACTGAGGGAGCACATACCTGGGCAAAGTTCTCCTCAAAGGAGAATGACCATAAAAAATGGTACTGAGAATTAGGATAGATGGCATTTCAAGAGGTCTCCACTGAATGGGAACCTAGGGTATCTTAAGTTATTATAGACTCCTTATCTCAGGAATCTTCAAGGCAAAAGTATAAGGTGTGATACAAAAAATCATGAAAAAGCCAATAACATACAGGATGGAATTTTCTTACTAGAAAGTTATATACTGAAAAAAATGAGAGTAAAAAAGGCAATGGGTACAAAACTACTCTATTTCAAGTTGGAGTGAAAAAATATAGTGGTAGCATTTATACCATGATAGGAAGGCAGCACAGAGAAAAACTCAAGATAATGAGCCTGTGCCTGGGCTCCTTAGCTTAAATAGAACATAAGTCTAAAACCAAAGTCATGGGTTCAATCTGTACACAGAATAGTCTTTATAGTCATTGACAGTGTCTGCTACAAAGCACTTTGTAACAAGAAGATAAGAAACGGGAAAAATCTTAGAGGTCATCTGGAAGTCTCATTCCAATACTGTCCTTTGTGGGTTAGGAGGGTCATGTTGGTATACTGAGGGGGCTTGGACAGTTGGTAAGAACAATGGAAAGAGAGCCAATTAGGAATATATTGCATACTTGGTTCCACTGGATATTTTTATATATAAACTGCATGTACTCTTATGTGACTTAAAGGCATTAGACCTCAATATTATTTTAAAGCCTTCTAAGCTTCCATTTTCTACAAAAAAGGAAAACACTTACTTTTGAAGCTTACTTTCAGATCGACAATTTAACACTAAAAATGGGACATTCATTATATAAATGGTAGTGTTAAAACGATGTAAGTGAAAATATTTTTAGTAAGATATTGCTTAAATTAACAATTAAGCAAAACAGTAATAACATTTAGGAGTCATATAATAATAATTTTCAACTAAGTGTCCATGCCCCATAATCTATAAACCAAGCCTTACTGCTCAATTATCACATGATATTAACTTTTCCTTTCACCTTAAATTGCTGATTCTGACGACTTAGACATCATAATAGTTTTTGATTCTTGATCTGTGGGACTATCAACTGGTACCTGTAGAAAGAATCAGAAAATAAATGCATAGTATCTGGCATATGCCATTATGACAGATAAACAGGTGGCTCAGGAATAAAAAACAGCTGACTAGATAGATCAGTTTCACACTTATTCTATGCACACATTTCTCAACAGTATAGTCACAAAAATACTCATTACTTACAGCTTTAATATCGCCATTTGCAATTCCTATATTTATATTGTGTCTTCTCAGATCAGACTTGATTAATGCTAAAACAGAGAAGCATCAATGGAGTTACCATAGAGTATATATGAATATACTTTTCTCTAAGCAGTGCAAAGTCCTTTTGGATATTGTCAAATTTAGCACACTACAGTACCATAATATTCAATAGCAATCTCGTAGCCTGAAAAAATAAGAGTACCTCTCTAAGCCACCAACTTAATTAGCAAGTCATTCATTAGTGAACACATACAGGATGCTAGGAACCAAAGACACAAAGATCAAAAGTGCCACTTCTTTCCCTAAAGGACCCTCTGATCTAGGGAAATACTGACATGCAAACATTATAACATTGTAGGAGAAGTGCAATGATGCAGGTATGTAAAAGTTGTAGTGGGAGCATGGGAGAAAAAATGCCTATGTCAGCCAAAGGAAATCAGAGAAGGCTTGCCAGAGGACACACATTTGAATTGAACTTGAAAAATGAGGAGGAACTTATCGAGCAGGTAAGAGGAGAGAGGAAGGCATTCTAGGCAGGCAGAAAAAAGTATATGCAAAAAGAAATCAGGACAGAAAGAGTATAACCTGTTCTTGGCACCAGAGGTAGTCTGAGATCACTGGAGCATCAAGTACAACAGGGAGGTGGCAGGAAATAAGGCTGGGTTTGAGGTATCGTGTACACCGTGTAAAGGAGTTGACACTACATCTGAGTAGGGAAAGACACTATCAGGCCTACATGTTAGGGAGCTCAACCTAGCAGCTCTGTGGAGGATGATCATCAGCAACAAGACCAGAGGCAGGAATGTCAGACAAGAGGCTTTAATTCTGCTGAGATGGCAATCCTGAACGTGAGAAATGGTGATACAGGGACAGATTTCAGAGATATTTTAGGATAGAACCAACATGGTTTGGTGATTTGATAGAATATGAAAAATGGAGGGAAGGAAGAAAGAAAGAAGTGGGTGACTTAGAGTTTTCCTGCTTGAGCAATGAATGGATGGTGGTCTTGGTTACTGAAACTGAAAATGCAAGAGGAATAGGTGTGGTGGGAAGATGGTAAGTTTAGTTCTTTTTTGCTTGAGGAAGATTCGCCCTGAGCTGATATCTGTGCAGTCTTCCTTCATTTTGTATATGGGTCACTGCCACAGCATGGTCGTTGATGAGTGGTGTAGGTCTGCACCCAGGAACTGAACCTGGGCTGCTGAAGCAGAGTGCCCAGAACTTAACCACTAGGCCATGGGGCCAGTCCCAGTAAGTTTAGTTCTGGGCAGCTTGTGCTATCAGATGCCCATAGGACATCTAGGTCTGAAGACAGATATATAACTGGATATACTGGTCTGAAATGTAAAAGAGATCAGGGTTTGGAGATAAAGATTTGGAAGTTACTAGTGTTAAAGCGGTAAAGCCATAGACTGCTCAAGGAGAGTGTAAAATAAGACAAGAAGATACAAGCTTGTGGATAATTAAGTAATCTAATCAGTCAGATAGCAAAGTAAAAATAAAAGATGAAAGTAACATCAATGTTCTAAAAGTTAGTCTAATGCTTCCTTTGAAATTCACACTGCCCCTTGTAATTCTGCTCCATTATTGATACCAATGTTTCAGAAATTCAGATATTTATGCTGAGCTAATTGGATATATGTCAATATGGCCTTTCTGAATGCATTTAAATGATTTTAAAGAAACTGGTGATGTTGTGGAATGAGACCATATTTAAAAGCAGTTTAGACGTTAAAACACTATGCTGCTTTAAATTGCAGCAGTGATCGCCATTGACTAATCAGCTCTACAATGTTGTACAATTCACCAAATCAAAGAGGCTACCCACTCATTTTTTAATAAGGAGGAAATGTGTATTCCTTTTACTAATTATAGAATTAATACTAATTATAGAATTTAGAAACACTATGTATGGCATTATCACCCACTTTTTTCAATGGACACAAGTGGGCTAAGGACAAATAATATGCTTTACAGAGAGCTGTTAGCCTTGCAAAAGCAAAATGCACTGCATTCAAATGCCAATTTCTATGTCAAAACAAGAACTTCCGGCAACTCTAGGAAAAAAAAATGTAACAAGAAAAGGTACCACCTTTATCATACCTCAGGAATTTCTTGCCCCCTTTCCTGTCTAGACAATATATGAATACTGGATATATAAACCCATCACACTCTGCTCAGTAAAATTCTCAACAGTTGAGGTAAATTAATTAGCATTTTTAGATGGTAAAAGTATCAATGTAAAACAATTTTAAAGATCTTTTTTTTTTTTACCTCTTAATTAGTTTTCTAGACTTGATTTATTTGAATTAACATTTATGAATCTGATTATAAAAATAATGTGAAAACAGAGTACCAAACTGCTCCCTTTTTTGGTCCAACAATCCAACAATAACAGTCAATTTGACAGACATATGTTACTTTCCTGGAACTTAAGAACCAACACAGAATTATTTATGACAGATCAGTAGTAGTTAAGGCAGTTAATGTATTACATGTTTCACAGTTTTGTATGCTTTCTTCTACTAACTGAAACGAACAGGGGAAACAACTCCCCCATGGTAGCATGTTTTTCTTTGAGGACACAGGTTACATTCGCTCTCTTTGAATGTAATGAATGAAGACTGACCTTAGGTGCTTGTGTTTTTCCAAAATAAATGTTTACCACTGGTAAGACTTCATATTGGGGCTTTCAAAAAGAATGATCAGGTAGTCAATAAACATAAAAAGAAGCCTTGATTCACATCTTTCTGACAGGCCTGTCTCTCACGTTGGTAAAGGAATGCAGAAAGAAATTAACAAAGGGAAATAACAGTAGAAGACAACATGGAGCTGGAAGCACTGCTGGACGTAAGTCTTGTTTCTAAATCCGTTTTTACACTTATGTGCCTGGACAAACTATGGATAAAAGTTCTTTTACATACCCGTTCTCTACAGATTGGGCACTAGTCTCCCACCCACGTCTACTCTGATTACAGTCACGTGCTGCATAACGACGTTTTGGTCAACTGACCGCATACACGACGATGGTGCCATAAGATCAGTACTCTATAGCCCAGGTGTGCAGTAGGCTACACCACCTAGGTTTGTGTAAATACATTCTATGATGTTCACACAACGACAAAATCACCGAATGATGCACTTTTCAGAAGGTATCCTCGTTAAGCGACGCATGACTATATACCTAAGAAGTGTAAGAACTGGCTAACCATTCCACACGCTGTTTCCACCACCACCATCTGACTTCTCACTGCCACTGTCACATTATAATAACAGCTAATGTGGGCCGGCCCCGTGGTTTAGCGGTTAAGTGCGCACGCTCCGCTACTGGCGGCCTGGGTTGGGATCCCGGGCGCACACCGACGCACCGCTTCTCTGGCCATGCTGAGGCCGCGTCCCACATACAGCAACTAGAAGGATGTGCAGCTATGACATGCAACTATCTACTGGGGCTTTGGGGGAAATAAATAAATAAATAAAATCTTAAAAAAAAAAAAAAATAACAGCTAACGTGACTAGGTACGTCCTAGGTGCCAGGCACCGTACGAGGAGCTTTTCACGAATCACGTCAGTTTATCCTCACAGGAACTCTCTAAGGCAGACTTTTTAATACCTTATGATATAAATGAGGAAAGGAGGATTTGAGAGGTTAAGAAACTTGTCTAAAGTCACACAGCTAGTGAGCGGCAGAATCAGAACTTGAGGCCGGGTCTGCCCACTCCAGGTCTTGACTGACTCTTGACACAACGGTTTTGTTTTCAACGCATAGTAAGTGTATTGAGTTTGAAACCTGAAAAACGAACTAATAGACTCATATCCTTGGAAGAAAACAAACAATATCCTGCTTTTTATCTCATTTTTTTTTTTGAGTTCTGCCAAGCCACTGAGAATCAATATACACAAAAATATAAAGACAACATGACATGAGGACTTTGTCAGAAAAATACCCTAATTTACCTGTTAAAATGCTGCCTATAAACATCCAAACACAGAGGAAAATGTTTCCTGCCTTAGGACCATAGTTTGATGTGAGCATTCCTTGAACCAATGTGAATAAAATTCCAAATGTCTAAAATAAAATGAGAAATAATTTTTATTAAGTTTACTTCTTTAACATAACTGTTATGTTTTCCCCAGAACTTTTCTTAACTATTTTATTCATATGATTTGGCTTCTAGAAACATTCATTGAAAGGTGGAATTTTTAAAACAAAAACTATGGTCAAACTTATTATCCAACAGAATATTCGGTAAACTAACCATCTTCAGTTTAAGAGAAATCAGAGGTTTACCTGCGCAGCAGCATTAAGAAGACCAGAGGAAGTACCTTCAGATTCTGGGTAAGTGATTTCAACAGCAAATTCGAAACCCAAGGGGAGGTAACCAGTCATGAAGAAACTAAGAAAACCAATCCAGAATTACAGAAAGAATTAACAGGACAGTATCACATATTGAGGCAATCCAATCATTCTACTTCTCAGCCTTATTCTAATGATCAAATAAGTGAACATTTTGAAGTTGATATGTGAAAGTAAGGCACTATTATTACTCACCAACCAGCCCAACGTCATGAGAACTGAGAAGCCAAACAATTCCTAATTTTTTTTGTTCTGAGAAAAATTTACCTCTAGTTTTCTTTTTTTTTTTTTCTTTTTGGTGAGGAAGATTCGCCCTGAGCTAACATCTGTGCCAATCTTCCTCTATTTTTTTTTTATGTGGGTTGCTGCCACAGCATGGCCACCAACAAGTGGTGTAGGCCCGCACCCAAGAACTGAACCTGGGCCACTGAAGTGGAGTATGCCAAACCTAACCACTAGGCCATGGGGCTGGCCCCTACCTTTAGTTTTCTAAGTTGTCTTTCTAAGTAAATAAAGTTACCTGGATTAAGTAAGGCTTATCTGTTTTTCACCTATAGATCAAAAAACAATTTTAAACTAGTTTTTATATTTCTAAAGAATTATACATTTATATGCACAGGCTAGATCCTTTAAAGTTTAAAATATTAAAGAACCTTTGGATAAACTTTAAAAATTAAAAACCATAGTAACAATACTTCAGAATTATAAAAGCATGCTGTCATTCCTCCTAAACTCATTTGATGCTTACCCAAGCACCCCTCCAGTAATAAACACGATGATAATGTATCCAAGGTCCAATGTGCAAGTAAATATAACCATTCCAACAAAAGACAAAATGTAAACTGTCAGAGTAGTCTGTCTAAAACAAAAATAACAAAATTGTTAGTATTTTGTCTGATTTTCCTAGGCACATAAAAATCATCTGGCTAGCCATTGCTCTGTCCATACAGTACTAATTCTTTGGTCGTCTTCAGGATTAGGTTTTCCTTATCTATGGAAAATGTTTCCACTAGACCATGGACTTGAAAGCTTAAGATTTAAGATTCAGCAGACAATAAAACCCACACCATATCCAATGCTTAGGCAGGAAGGAATATTCATTTGGAAAAAATCATTTTTATACCACCAAATGGGATAGTTCCCTATTCATATTTCAAGATTCAAATTCCACCTCTTACAAAATGCCTTTCCTAACCACTGCAGTTTACAAGATTGTCTCTTTCTTCCAAACTCCCTTATCATTTTACTATCTATATAACTGGCACTTGATGGCTACTGGAAGAACTCAGGGCATCTATTTTAGTCAGTTATATTATTATTTAACTTTTCATATGTGAATGCTTTATTTTCCCCATTTAGACCACAAAGGTCTTAAGGACAGGGATCGTATTTTCTTGCCACAATTCCTAGCTAAGAGCAACGCAAAACACAAGGAGTTTGGTAAATGAACGGCACTTACCCTGAGAAGCAAGCCAGGGTAACAAAGAACACATTTCTATGCCTATCAAGTTTTCTCATTATATAATGGACTAAAGACTATTAATAAATTTAATCCTTCATGTATGCTTGTAACAACGGGCCCTCTAGGACCAGTTCAACTGACCCCATCTTATCAACAGAGTAATTAAGAGTGGTTTTTCAGGAACTGAGACCCCTTGTCCAGTTCAGGCCAGTTGAGACCACCAATTCATCAACTGGGCCTGTGCAAGTGCTTGATAAGTGACCTTTTTGATGTCGAAGGGCTGAAAACTCCACCCTCAAATCATGCTAACACCACCATTTTGTGAACATGCATCCTACGAAGAGCCATGAAGCTTGACTATGCTTGTGCAGAGCATCAATTACCTCGCTTCTCCTTACCTCCAATCACCTATTCTCCACACTTCAGACCACCCTACACTTCATCTCATAAATTTTGTCCCAAGCCCTGGATCAGGGAGACAGATCTGAGAGCATATGCCTCCTGTCTCCTTGCAGATCAATCTCACAAAGATTTTCCCAAAGGCTGATGCCATAATAATTGGCTCTTTACGCAAATCAGGTGGTGAGCCCTTGCTTGGTAACGTGCTCCCTTCATCGACACATCAATGGGTTTCGATCTAAGCTGCCATTTCACAATAACAAAGCCGCAGCAAGTACTGTCTTAAATTATAGGAGAACTCTCTTGGAGAATTTCAAGATCAGAGGTATTCTGGAAGGGTGTAGAGAATGGTATCAAACAGATCTTGGGCCTTGAAAGGTGCATAGGACACAGTTCCACACTTCATTCATTCATTTCATTTCATTCCATTCATTCTTTCACAGTTCCACTCATCCATTTCTCCCAAGCTATGTGAAGTTTACACCTGTTAAAAAGTGGAGCTATTCTGTTAAGGCCCAGTGCAAGAGATGCTGCCTCTGAAACCCCCTTCTGAGGCTCCCAGTTGGTATTCCTTTTTCTTATGTATTAGCATTTTGCTGGTTCCATATAGATGTACAATTAATACAACATGAAAACACTACATATTATATTATAGTTAAGTGGTGCTATGGTTTGGGGGCATGTTAGCTAAAAACTTTTTACCAAAAAAAGCCTATGCTCAATAATAATTTTTTAGCAGGAAAGAACTTTTGTTTGTTTTATGCTCACAACATGAGAAAACAGCAGTATAAAATTTCTGTCAAAAGTCAAATGTTTCTCAGAAAGGGCTTTTTTAAGAATAGAAATTCTAAAAAAATAGAAATACCACTTCTGAAGTGGTATGTAGGAGTATTATTAGAGGAGAAGAAGGTTCATTAGGAATCCAAGTTCCCAAAGTTGAAATAAATATGACCAATAAAATAAGACAATACATAGACTACAGAAACATTTGGAAGTGAAGGGAACCTAAGAGTGTCTAGAATCCAAGACTTTTAGTAATAGTACATCCAAAATTTCTCTCACTTTTTTTTTTTTTTGTGAGGGACATTAGCCCTGGGCTAACATCCACGCCCATCTTCCTCCACTTTATATGGGACGCCACCACAGCATGGCTTCATAAGCAGTGTGTCGGTGGGCACCCAGGATCCGAACCTTGGGCTGCCACAGCCAAGCGCACGCACTTAAGCGCTATGCCACCGGGCTGGCCCCAATCCAAAATTTCTTAAAATAAAAAGCAAAGTCCTTTAAAATCAAAATACCTTAGGTTGTACACCATACATTTATCTATTTTCACTTACTTGTATGTTTTGGTATAATCCAGCCATAAGCCACAAAGAATGGAGCCCACCATTCCAGCTACTACCAGTGTCAGCCCAATCCTTCCAGCATTCACCTCTTCTCCCTTAAAAGAATTTTCTTAAGAAGTTAACCAGATACTTCTGATTCAAATAGATCCTTCACATTCCCATATCTTTTCATAATCAATGAAAATAATCAGATAAAATGAAGCATACAATAGGAAGATTCAGTCTATGTGTTAGGGTGAGGGGGGTAGGGGCAGGTAAAGCACATATAAAGGACATTCTACTTTAAAACTAGAAAAAAATCCCCTAAAATACAGGAAAAATCAAAAAGGAAATTCTTCCTGATCCTCCATGGTTAGAAGTACAATGATTTTTGTTAGAATTCTTAAGTAATTCACAGATGTCTGAAAAGAAGGTTAATCTGATAGCTTTTACATATTACAACTGCTTTCTCCTTTCAAAAACAAAGAGAGGTCAGAGCTGAGGCCGGCCTGGTGGCACAAGCGGTTAAGCGCGCGCGCTCCACTGTGGCGGCCAGGGGTTTGCCGGTTTGGATCCTGGGCGTGCACCGAGGCACCGCTTGTCAAGACATGCTGTGGCGGCGTCCCATATAAAGTAGAGGAAGATGGGCATGGATTAGTTAGCCCAGGGCCAGTCTTCCCCAGCAAAAAGAGGAGGATTGGCAGATGTTAGCTCAGGGCTGATCTTCCTCAAAAACAAAAGAAAACAAAACAAACAAACAAAAAAAAAGAGAGGTCAGAGCTCGATATTTACTTATTTATATTTGTGTTGGTTTCCCTTAAAATTTTTTCTTTTCTTTTTCCATATGACCTATCACACTATTTCTTTAAAAAAGAATAAAAGAAAAGAATTAGGTATTATCAAAGCAATAATAACTTCTGCTTTCCATCTTGTACATTTTATAAATTATATTAAATGTATTCTCAATTAAAACAAATATATATCTTTTACAGCAACAAGGTCATAAATCTTTAATCTTATGATCCTGCTAACAGGAATTCTACTGCTAAAGAAAAATTCTGGGCCAGATGTTCAACAAGATATAGGTAGACGCTTACCTCATAATATGTCAGTATCATTTGATTTAATAATGTTGAGACTGAATAAAATGCTCCAGTCATGATACCTACAACAATAAACAGAAAACTATAAATGTACCATTAACTAGTTCATAAAGAGATAGGGACTACTCGGTGACAGTTGTGAAAATATATTGTGTTTCTCACACAGCTGACAGAAAATTAACAACTCTTGCTATTCCCTTTCAGGATGTGAACTGATCGATTTAACACCTAAACTTACTGGAGATTATGACAGTAGAATTTTGTCCTTACACCTTTATTATCATTTAGACTCAGATATACCGACCATAAATCACATCCCCTTGCATAACACTGTGGATGGCAATCATGCAATGGATTGCTTCCTGAGCGCCTGCGATGGACTCGAGCTCATCAACGTTAAAGCAAAAGGCAGAATCCCTGCTTTAGAGATCTCATCCCTGCATCAAAGACTTAAGAGACAATTAGTGATACAGTGTTAACTAAAGAATACTTAAAAAGAGAAAAATAAAAACAGTGGGTTCTCAGGAAGCACACAACTTGTTTGAATCCTCGTGTTTCCTTGCACATACAGCATGACTTTAGTTAAGTCTCTTAACCTAGCTGAGACTTGAGTTGATTATTTGCCTCTCTTTATTATTAAATATTTTGAGCATACAAAATAGTGCAGACAATAATTTAACAAACACTCTTTACTCATCACCCAGCTTTGTCAAACAACATTTTGCCATCTTTGCTTCAGATTCATTTTTCACACCTTCCCTAATCCTATTCTTCTCTTCTATTCTTTCTCAGAGGTAACCCCTATCCTGATCTTGGTGCTTATCATTTTAGATATTACAATATATGTGTATCCATAAATAACAATTAGAATTATTCTAAATGTATTTAAACCTTATATAAATAATATACTATTTGTAGCCATCTGCAACTTGCTCTTATCACTCAATATTACGGTTTTGAGATTTATCCATGTTGATACTTTTAGTTCTAGTTCGTTAGTTTTCTCTGCTGTATAATAGTCCATTGCGTGAATATACTTCAATTTAATGAACTCATCCTGTCAATAAGGCTTTCGCAGTTTTTCACTATTTAAAACAATATTGTAACGAATATTGTTTTTGTTCTTATGTATAAGGGTTTTTCTAAATATATATCTAGGAGTAGAACTACTTTCTGGATATAGCCAAATTGTTCTTCAAAACAGCTGTATCAGTTTACACTACCAGCAGAGTTCCTTACTCTACATGCTTGCAAAAATCTGTTTTCATCAGATTAAAAAAAATTTTTCTTGCCAATTTGAATGAACGTATGTGATATTGTACCTTACTCTGGTTTTGATTTCCTTGATTACTAGTAAGCCTGAGCATCATATATGAGCAATACACCCATACACAAACACATAAATGCCTTCTGGTCTCCTTGATTTGTTCTTTTCTTATTGATTAGTAGGAGTTATTTTTATATTGTAGGTACTAAACCTTTGTTGGCTATATGCATTGCAGACATTTTCTCAGTCTATGTCTTTTCACTTTTTATGGTGTCTTTTTAGAAAAGACCATTATTTTAATGTAATCATATTTATTAATCCTTTTCTTTAGAGTTTATGTTTTTTGCATTAAGAAATTCTTTTAAGAATACTAAAGATGACTTCCTATATTTGCTTTTAAAAGTTTAATGTTCTAATTTTTACCCTTTGGTCTTTAATCCACTACAATTCAGTTTTGTGCATGGTATGATGTAGAGACCTAATTTTACTTTATTTTTCCCGTATGGATAATCAATTATCCCACAACAATTTACTATATAGTTTCTCTTCTGCCAAACATCAAGTTTTCATACATACATAATGTTCTAGTCATTAGAGCTGTTCACAAATATTCTAGTTTTTCTCTTTTCAGGCATTTAGTGTCATGGCCATGTGACTTCAAATGTGAGCAAAAGTGACATTTCCCATTTTCTACCTTAGTAATCAGGGAAGCGTGTACTGAGATGTCAGCCTGGATCCCTGAGTAACTCTGATGCACGGACCACTGCTGCCAATTCACACTGAACATGTAGCATTGGCAAGAAATAAACTTTGGATGCATTAGGCCACTAAGGTTGTTTTGGTGGGGTTTCATTGTTATAATACAACCTAGCCCATGCCAACTGATACCCAGGGGTAGGTCCCTGGGCTCTCTATTCTGTCCCAGTGATCTAAGTGCCTATCCCTTGATCATACCTCACATCTTAATCACCACTGCTTTATAAATCATGACATCTGAGAATGAGTCCCTCATCTTGTTCTTCATCAAAATTATCTTTGTTGTTTTGGGCCCTTACTCTTCTTAGAAGAATTTTGGAAGTAGTCAAGTTCCATTACAAATCCTGTTTAAACTGGAGATTGCAGGATGAGGACTATAGCTGGTCTAAAGATCTTATGAAAAACCCCTGGGTGAGGAAAGGAAAGTCTCTTTAATAAATGGTGCTGGGAATACGGTCAGCCACATGCCAAAGAATGAAAGTAGATCATTATCTTACTCCATACCCAAAAATTAACTCAAAATGGATTAAAGACTTGAATGTAAGACCTGAAACCATAAAACTCCTAGAAGAAAATATAGGCAGTACACTTTTGGACGTTGGTCTTAGCAATATCTTTTTGAATATCACGCCTCCTCAGGCAAGGGAACAAAAGAAAAAATAAACAAATGGGACTACATCAAACTAAAAAGCTTCTGCATGGCAAAGGAAACTAGGAACAAAACGAAAAGACAACCTAACAATTGGAAGAATATATCTACAAATCATATATCTGATAAGGGGCTAATATACAAAATATATGAAGAACTCATACAACTCAACAACAAAAAAACAAACAACCTGATTAAAAAATGGGCAGAGGATCTGAACAGACATTTTTCCAAAAAAGCTATACAGATGGCCAACAGGCACATGAACAGATGTTCAACGTCACTAATTATCAGGGAAATACAAATCAAAACCACAATGAGATATCACCTCATGCCCATCTGAATGGCTATTATTAAAAAGACAAGAAATAACAAGTGTCAAAGAGAATACGGATAAAAGGGAACCCTCATACACTGCTGGTAGGAATGCAAACTGGTGCAGCCACTACGGAAAACAATATGGAGATTCCCCAATAAATTAAAAATGGAACTACCACATGATCCAGCTATTCCACTTCTGGGTATTTATCCAAAGAACACAAAAACACTAATTTGAAAAGACATATGCACCCCTATGTTCACTGCAGCATTATTCACAATAGCCAAGACTTGGAAACAGCCTAAGTGTCCATCAATGGATTAATGAATAAAGATGTGGTATACACACACACACACACACACACACACACACACACACACACAATGGAATACTACTCAGGTATAAAAAAAGGTGAAATCTTGCCATCTGTGACAACATGGACAGACCTTTAGGGTATTATGCTAAGCGAAGTCAGTCAGAAGGAGAAAGCCAAATACCATATAATTTCACTCATGTGGAAGATAAAAAAACAACAGCAAACAAACACATAGATACAGAGAATAGATTGGTGGTTACCAGAAGGGAAGGGTGGGAGGAAGGCGAAAGGGGTAAAAGGACATATTTGTACAGTGATGGATGGCAACTAGGCTTTTGGCATTGAACATGATTAGCCAATACAGAAGTCGAAATATAATGATGTACACCTGAAATTTATATAATGTTATAAACTAATGTTACCTCAATAAAAAAGTAAATTAAAATAAAAAAACTGGGCCGGCCCTGTGGCTTGGTGGTTAAGTGCGCGCGCTGCGATGCTGGTGGCCCGGGTTCGGATCCCGGGTGCGCATCGAGGCACCGC